TATTTAAAAATCTTGAATAGTGATATGTAAAGAATAAAATTTAACTGTACAAAAACATTGATCTCTCTGACCTATACTCACACTGAAAGAAATTCATCATAAATCACAGAATATGTAACTAGAAATGCATAGCAATCATTATTTAATGCAGAACATATGGCATATTGATCTTCTACAGCAATAGTAGTCTTATCACAATCTAGTAAAACCTAAAGAACACATGTTCTGTTGAATATTCTCTGCCTATTTCTTTCAAGATAATAAACTTCATTTTAAAAAGATTTAAAGGACATGCAGATACTCTCACGTAATATAAAGAATTATGGTCAGAAGCAGATAACCTTTGAAAGTAACTGAGAAAAGCCACAAAGATAACACAGAAGGCAAGCTATCCAGTAAAGATGCAAAGAAAAACTCTCAGTCTAAGATCTGAGCAGGATGATGGAGGATTAAAGTAGATAAATGGAATAGATTATTCTGCCAGACTGAATAGACAGTGGATGATTTGAATGAATGGTACTATTGTTCTGGAAACAGCGTAGGAAGACACAGGAGGTAAATGGTCAATTCATTTGTCTAATTATACCATTTATGGGGTGGTGACCTGCATTATGACCTCATTTCCTCCCCACCAACAAGAAGTTTAAAAGCTAAAGCCCATGTAAGCGTTTTGGATAAAGAAGAGGGTCTGCATCAACAAATGTGTAATAATGGTTCTATATTTTCTACAAGAGTGAAATACACAGATAAGTGTGACTGTCATTATTGCTGTCACTCAAAATACACACTAACATCTCCATGAATGGGTGTTTACCTCTGGGTAATATTTTTGACAACATTTATTAAATTCCTTTAACTAGTTCTTTCCTTTGATTTTACTTTGGGAATATATTCTGAGAATATGATGTATATCTCAAGATGTATGTCATTGGAAATTTCTACTTACAGTATAAGAAGAATAATCCTTACTTAAAAGGAGGCAGCACAGACTAGAGGTGAGGGGTGGGACTTCTGCGTTTGGAGGTCCTGGCTCCAACTGTTGCTCCATTAACCACTTAATGAGTGATGCTGAATAAGTTACTTGAATTTTGTGCCTCCACTTACTCAGCTATGAGATGGACCTCATGGTACAGTAGCATCTATATTATTTAATTAGGTCATAAATGAAAATCACATCTACTTGTGGACTTAATAAAGATCAGCCATTGTCAGGAATATGTTCATAATGGGACTATTATAATAGGAAAAAAATGGGAAGAACTCATTTGGGGGAAAGCTCTAGTAAAGGAAATTGGTTGTGCAAGCTCTGGGACAGCCACGGGGCAGACACTGAATTTCATCACACTATTATCAGTGTCTAACACAGAAGGTAATTTATAGGAGTGTTCTTGCAGTCTGGATTTCATTGTGAAATATTCAAGATACACTCTGGGTCACATTTTGACATCATTGAAATTCAGATAAGTATTTAATGAAAAATAGACAATTTCACTAGAACACAGACAAAGCTGTGTTGCAGTTTCACCAGTAAGATGTATACTACATATTACATTTGGTGCAGTCTGTGGCTGACAGAGTAAATGATCCCCCACGGTATCCACATCCTAATCTCCAAAACCTGTCAATATTCTGTCTCATTGCCAAAGGTGTTCTGCAGACTCTGCGATGGGTTCATTATCCTGGGTTATTCCTGTGGGCCCAGTATACCCACAAGAGTTGTTATAAGCACACAGGGAGATCAAATTAGGGAAGATATAATGCTAGCAACCAAGACCTTCCACTTCTGAAAGCTAGAAATGGCAAGGAAGTGTTTCTCTCTGAGCCCCAGAAGGAACTGGCCTTACCTACTCCTTAACCCAGATCCTTCAGATCTGTGAGATGTTTGTACTCTTCTATACCACTGAGTTTGTGGAAACATATTAAGCAATAATAGGAAACTAATTCATAATCATAAATTAAATGGAAAAAGTTTTTTACTTCTAGCATGCTAAGCCTTTTGTATTTTGAATTTCCACTTATCAACATCAATATAAACTTTTGAATAAATGGTGAATGGGATAGTTTACAGTGATTACAATCTTGTTGACAAGAAGTTCATAATAAAATAGGTATCTCTTGACAAAAGAGAATATCAATTTTTATTGTGATGATATGAATTAATATCATCGATGACATCCTGTGTTATTAGGGCCTATACCTCTAGTAATTATCCTAGCACTAACATTCTGTAAGTACTTGGATATACACACAAATATATTGCACACACACATGGATAATTAGGCTCTGATTATTAAACAATAAGAAAGATTCAAAAAGGCAAATGTATGAAACAAAGTATTATTACAAAATCTCATTTTGTGAGCATACAGACTTTGCTCTTACTAAAGGACTAGCTTTCAGCAGGCCCTGGAACTGTGCAATTTGCTACTAATATTATCATCATCCGTTATCCTTCACAGTGACTAAAAAATTTAAACACACAGGGACATAAAGCAGGAATAGCAGCCCAACATCTGGTTGATCACTAAGACTTTCAGCTTGTCACTTGCCAGCTCTTTGACGAATGTATTCATAACATCTGTTAACATGTCCACTTTGTTCCATGAAAATAGAGCCTGTTAACAGAAGTTAATAACATTCCAACTGAACGCAATGCCATTTTTTAAAAACTTTGACATTAAAGGAGGATATCCTTTCTGGAACATGCATCCATGTTAAATTTTGCTGCACGTTTGAAATGTCGTAGCTGGAATATTTATTATAATTTTTTATAAAATATTGATAGATTATATTTTTTGAAGATGACATAAATTATTTAATCAAGTTTTTCTAATTTAATGAGTCATGTATGCTGGTATAAATTACACACAGATGTAACTATAATGTAACACAGGAAGGTCAGTGTGAAAGAACAGTGTGGGTATTTTACTTAGAGGTGAAACAGAGGTGCCAGCCATCCCCTAGTCCACCTTGTTTAGCGGGTACATGATACTGAAGGATATTTGGCTCTTGAATTGAAGAACTGGGATGGAAGAGTAAAGAAAACTGAAAGGTACAGTAGATCCTGTGCAAGGGAAGGAAATTGTTCATACGGAAGAGACAACTGGGATGAGGGAAAAGATAGAAAAAAGGAAGGAAGGAAGGAAGGAAGAAAGGAAAGAAGAAAAGAAGGAAAGAAAGAAAGAAAGAAAGAAAGAAAGAAAGAAAGAAAGAAAAAAGAAAGAAAGAAAGAAAGAAAAAAAGAAAGAAAGAAAGAAAGAAAGAAAGAAAGAAAGAAAGAAAGAAAGAAAGAAAGAAAGAAAGAAAACTGTCACTAGGAGGCTGCTGCTACAATGAGAAAAAAAGATATATTTATGTATATATACAGGATAGCTTAGATAATTGTACTGCTGATTGTTACTGGTCTGCTGAATGAAGCAGTTATTGCTTAATTTTTTGTAACTTTTTTAGAATAATTTTTGCATGCTTATATCTTGTAGTCTGAACAACTAATTTGAAGACAACAATATGCAATATAACAACCATTGTTGAATTCATATTATTTTGCTTAGTGAAATTCTGTATTGTTTCTAATGTTATTTTTAATATTCTTCATTCTCTTTCTTTTTTTAAAGGAAATTGCTGTTAAAATGTTTTTGCGATTCTGTTTTATAGCATCTTGCTTATTAGGATAACATTAGCTACTCTACAAATAAATCCCTGAAAATTTTTATTGGTTTAACACAAGAAGAGGGTTTTTCTGGTGGAGGAAATAAAGTCAGCAGTGACTTCATGGTGTGGAGAGTTCAGGACATGCATGGAGCAAAGTTGAAAATGAAACAGGGCATAGTTCCTACTATTGTTTGGGGACTGGTGGGACAAATATTGAAATGATACATGACATCTAGACTGCAAAGATCTCCAGTACCTAAACATGGGGACTGACTTTACTCAAAAAAGCCAGATAGGACTTTAAAGCCATTATTTAACCGATTACTTTCACCAATCCCTGTTAAAGAGGCAAAAATAATTCTAATTCTATAATTTGAAAGACATTGCAAGTACTCAACCAGTGAACAGAATTCTAAGCGACCTTTCTGCACATGATACGGTAAATTAGAATGGGATGCTTATATGTGAAACTCTGCAAAGAACGTTTCCTCATTGTTCGCCCAGTCACAGTGGTATGAGTTGCTGTTAGAAGAGGGGTGTCCACATTAAGATGTTAGAGTGAACGCTGCTCATACATGGGACACAGGAAACCCAGCCTTCTGGCGGACACAGGGTGACTTGGTCAAGCTGACTGTTTCTGGCAGTTTCTATGCTCCCCAGTTCCTGCCTTCCAGATGCTCAGGCATGGCTCTGTGCCCTATCCCCAGTCCACAGTCCCTGGTCCTTGCACCTGTTTGGTCTTTGCACTGGTACTAGATCTGCATTTTGTACATGAACTCAGATCACCAATTCCACACTGTGCTCCTTTGTTGTGTCTGCAAAAGATGTGCATCTATATAGCAATGTCCGAATACACACACACATGAAAAAGGAAAGTACCATATATTACCATCTTATTTTTACATAATTTTGTACTGTATCTTTCATGAGTGTAGTGAGGACCAGCCCTCTGTAATGTATCACGCACAGCATCAACACCCAATTAACATTTATTCATTAATTGGATGAAGTCCAGCACTTCAGCCCCTCACATGTGCTAAATTTCCTCCTAGGATTGGGAGAACAGCTGGTTAACATACTTGGTCCAAGAGGACATAAATGTGTGGTTTCTACTTTCCTTAGATCTGCAAAAAGCAGGATAGCTTGTTTCTTTAAAAGCTTCTGAGAAAGGAGGTCTGAACCTGGCATATGAAAGCAAGCTGTCACTATGTACACACGTGGCTGCCTGTGTGCGCGAGCCACAGCCCAGAACTGACAAGGACATGCTGAGTATCAAATCCAGGTGAGGTGAGCAGGCGGACGCAGCCTGCGCACTGCTGTGACCTTTCTGGGCTCTCCTGAGAACTCACCTCAATGAAGAAGATGCTGGCGGCTGACGTCGGATGGTGGTACATGTAGACTGTCACTAGGACGGCTGCTGCTACAATGAGAACCAGGATAAGGATTCCAACGATGAGGCCAGCGTGAAGGGTCCCCCCTTTCTTCTCGGCTGCACTGTCATCTGTTGAGGCTGAAAGAATATCCCAGCTGTCAGGGACTTTAAAAGTGAACCTTTTAGTTTCAGTTTTCACTTAAAGGGAAATTTATGTTTTTAATAAAGTAATCTTCTTTTTTAACTTTCTGCTTAACATTTTTTGTCCGTGCTACCATCTTAGAGGTTATTTGAGCGATGGAAATTCAATATATTAATGAGGAAAAGTAAATTTATAATTGTCCAGTTCAATAAAAAACATTAATAGCCTTTATTGTAAAAGTACTAGGAAAAGTCTGACTCTGATTATCTATACAATAAATTTAACTTTGAATCATACTCATTAAGCCAACATAGTTGCCTACCAACACTAATTACTTTTTGCATGCTCCTCTTTCATTTTCCTTTGGAAATTTTAAATTGAAGAGTATCAGGTACCTTGGTAGGCAACAGAGACATTTTCAGGAAGTCTGTGCATGAACTGAAATAATAATTTCCAAAATGTTTTAAAGTGAAGTATTCTTTAAAAGTAGAACACATTGATGTTAAATGACCCTTAAATAGTTTTATCATTATCTAAAGGGAGAACCACAGCATAAGAAAGAAAATATTCCATTATGCCACAGTCTGATAGCATTTTCTCTAAGTTCTACTGAAAAGTTCGCCACTATAATGCATGTTTTTAGAGCTAGGAAAGTGTGCAATTTAATCTCTAATGTAATAACTATCCAATCCTAAATCAATCAACAAAATAAAACTAATCTCCAAAGTCTTCTCTTGTTCTAAGATTCTGTAACTGTTGATGACTGCTCAGGTATTTAGAGATTTTCTTAAATTAGGTGCAGCAGGTAACTGTATCTTAGTGCATAGTATGATTGGTATTTTTGAGTCATTAGGTAATTCCTTAAGACTCACACAAATTTCAGACCAGCGGCTATTAATCCTTTTATTAAAAATTTACCTTTTTATTTTTTTTTTCTTTCCCTGTTAATAAACACTTTTGTCCATTAAGCATCATTTAATAAGTACAGATTTCTGTTATTTACAACTTTTTTAATAAAAACAATCATATTTCCTATCAGAATAAGAGGTGCCTATGATTTTACAGAATTCTGGACACAGCAAAGAAACATGACTCTAACGCTCACATTCTTTCTCTACATTTCGGTTGTTGTTTACTCTTTCCTTCAGACTCATTGCTAATATTCACTATGCCTTCTCTAAATTTAATGCTCAAATCTTTTTTTTTATTTTTCATATTTAGTATAGGGTATACAGGGTCAACAGGGTTTCCCTGCATAGATCGAATTTGTAGTGATCTGCTTGTTTACAGCCTCCCAAGTGCTGGGATTACAGGCATGCACCACCATGCCCAGTATCAATTGCCATCTCAGCATGCCCCGGGGCTGGGCCAGCAAGGCAGGCCTGGTGACTGAACCCTCTCCGCCTCGCCCCATGTCTGCATAAGCAGGCGCTTTAATCTGCTGAGCTATCTGGCTCACCCTAAATTTAATGCTTATAAAAGATACATTCGTTTAATAATAAATGGTTAAATTTAATGAGTTAAAAAGATTTAATGCTCAACTTCCTAAATGTTCCCCTTACATAACAGAAATTCACTAGCAAAATAAAATAAAATTAAGAGTAACACACTATATAAAATTTGGTTACCAATGTTCCAGGTATATTTGTATTGTTTTGCAAATAACAGATGCACAACAGAGGAGGTAGGCATTCTTAACAGGCCATTTTGATAGATGAAACTGGGGCAGAGGGAAATTTTAAAATGTGCTAACACTGCAAACTATTAAGATGGGACTGGGATCAGCACAAGCAGGCTGACTTCAAAGTCAGAATTCTGAAACTGTCATGAATATTTCTTCAATTTACAGAGAATTGTATGCACTATTTCCTCTTAGTTCATGATAAGGGTTCTAGCAAAGAATTCAGAAAAGGCCCTGGTAATTTCACATAATGGAAAATTAATTTTAAAATGATTAAAGAATTGGCACTGGGGCCAGGGAGAGGAACAAGTGCCTGCTTGGCAAACGCAAGGTCTCAAGTTCTATCGATGGTACCATGAAAAAAAAAATTACATGGTGCCTCACAGGGTCCTATCTTGTTGCTTCCCTGGGATAAAGTTTAAGACAGTTTTGGGGAACTTGGGTGGTTGAATGGGTGGAGAAATATAAAAGGAAAGAAAAATAAAAGCTATTGAATGGGTTATAGCTATCATAATTACCACTTCTTCAATAAAAATCAAATATATATAATAAATGCCTTCATCTCTTTGGTTTTCAGTAACTTATCTCAGCAATGTGGTTCATAACAGTAATTATCCAATGGGGCTGTTGTGAGAACTCAACATTTAATATTTAAAAAGTCTTCAGCTAGTACCTGGCATGTAAGAAGAACTGGTCAATGCTGAGCTATTATGTTAGTATGAATGTATATTTTTATGTAAAGCAGATGATGGTAAATTATACTTTCACATTCATGATACCATGTAAACTATGTCTTTGCCTGTCACATCTAGGCCGTTAAGACCCTGGCCTCTTCTTAGATACATTTATGTGATTGCATCTTGTGAAATTGGCTTTTTTTTTTTTTAATTTTTACAAGAGTATGATACACTACTCTCATGGGAAAATAGAATTAATTTAAAATGTTGCTTGGGGGAAAATATGACAAAAATATTTACTTGAGTAGACATGGAAGATCTGTTCCTCTGAGTCTGAGGTAAAATTCATCCAGCCCTGCCACCATCTATTTTCTAAGGCATTAATCCTTTTTTCTCTCCTTCCATTTTTCTATCTATTCTTCTCTTCCTCTTTCCATCCATCCATCCATCCATCCATGCTTCCATGCATCTATCCATCCTCCCATCTATCTGCCTGTCCATCCATCCATTCATCCATCCATCTGTCTGTCCATCCATCCCTGTCCATCAGTCCATCCATCCGCCCATCCATCCACCCATCCATCCATCCACCCATCCATCCTCTGGTTCTATTTCTTGCGTCTTTTTTTTAAATTTTATTTATTTATTTGTGTGTGTGTGTATGTGTGTGTGGCCAGCTCAGCCCACCAGGAGGCAGGGCTGGCTGGCATGTGGTGCTGGGGATTGAACCGCGGTCCCTCTGCTTTGTTTAGCTTGTTTTAAGTAGGTGCTTAAAACCACTGAGCCATCTCACCAGCCCTTCTTGCATCTTTTATATACAGCAGGCTAAGTTTCAGCTTAGCTTTCCTACTTTTGTCCAGGGAAAGGAAGGACAAAGGACTGAGAATTGCCCCAGGCTATCACTTCCCAAGTGGGCGTGAGGAATCTTTTGTGGAGAAAGTGGACAAGAGGCAATCCTTCTCAGAAAAGAAAAAGAGAGCAAGGAGCATGTTTTAAAAGAATCTGTCAGAACTAAAATTATCTTTGAATTTTAGAACTTAGGTTGTCAATTTTAGGAATACAAAAAATGTAGGATTTGCACCATAAGTGTAGTAAATGTCACTATGTCCTTTTAAGAAGTTGTAATTATTCTCTACCATTATCACTTACTCACACTTCCAGTATGGATTGAATCATATAATCTGCCTTTTGAAACTTTTCTGTGTATTTCTCTTTTAGAGGTCAAGACACATCATGCTAGTGAAAATTTTATGATTTGTTACTACCATACAAGCATTGTATAACATTTTTGGATTATAATCATTTTAATACATCATACAATTTTCATGATTCTCAAATAATACTAATCAGTAAATAAATATTTAGAGATCTGTGTCGTATGACTTTATGTTGTTATAACTAAAATAAATCATTTAAGGAGAAATGTAGCAAATTCAATTCCAAAACATACAAGAGTATCTATGTATCACAAACATGCTTCTGAGCATTCATGCTTCTGACCAAAATTGCACGTATATTTTTTAACATATTTTCCGTTTCTATACTTTTAAACTATTTTTTGTTTGCTAATACAACGATCCTAGAATTTGTTTTTCCTACACCACAAAAGCTCCTATATTTTATGAACTTTAGAAATCCACAAGATGGTTGAGAAGGTGACTCAGCAGTCTAAGCACCTGCCTGCCAAACACAAGGATCTGGGGTCAATCCCTGGTATTATGTGCTGTGCCAGCCCTGGAACCCCAGGTGCACTGTGGCCAGCCACCAAGACCATGCGTGGTGGCACCTGCCTGTCTCAGTGTTGGAGAGGCTGAAAGCAGTAGGATCACTATGAGTCCAAGCTGTGTAGTGAGTCTCTGTACCAAATCAATCAATCAATCAATCAATCAATCAATATAAAAAGAAATCCACAGAAACAAATGTCATCATGATTTATTAAAGGTTGTGGAATGTAAAGGTGAAGAAAAAATACTCTATTGAAAGTTTTTTGTTTTAAATTCTTTCACTGTGTATTTGGTTTCTAGTTTAATAGCAATGCTTAGTTAAATGGTTTGGGTTTTGCATATTTATGGGCATTTGGGGACAAAATACAGGGGACTCTGTTAAAACTGTGAACACTTCAAATGCACAACTGAAATGTAGAGTGAAAGCAAGGGCTTAGCAATTCTCATAATTGAAATTTAGTTCATTTACCTCGAGTGTACACTGCTCAAATAGACTGATTCCTCTCCCTTAGAAAAGACAATGTACTAACATGTCAACTTTGGAAAATCATTCTGTGGTTTAAGTGAATGTTCTTTTAAATTAGCAGAGAGAAGTGAGTCAAAGAAGACTGTACCTGCTTCAGGTACAGACTTCTTAGTCAGCTTATCAGGATTCAGTAGGAGTTAGCAGAATATTTTAAAAAGGTCAGAAGGGATCTAGTTCTGCTTTCTTAGAAATGTCTTGTGCTCTTTCATTCATGTCTAAAGGTCAACTATTATCCTCACACACATAACAGAATTAAAACCTTTAGTCATTATTTAGCCTTAAATTCTATAATAACCAAGAGGAAGTGCATACCATAAAATACAGTTCTCCAAGGAAAATGTGGAAATAAATTTTCAAAACTATAAAATTGGGCCAATGAGATAGCTCA